ACACAGCCCAAAATCCTGAAAGAAGAAATGGAGGGGGGATTGTGGCATGGCTATTCCCCATGAGAGATGGTTTCTATCTCTCTCTTTCTCTCTCTCTCTCTTTCTCTCTCTCTCTCTTTCTGTCTCTCTCTCTTTTGCTCCCTCTCTCTCTCTCTTTCTGGGAAGTATGTACATCCTCTAGCAAATTTTGTTTTTAATGATTTTTTTAGCAAACTGATTTTAAATATATACATACTCACACACACACAAACCAAGAGCAGGAATCATGGAAAATTTCACTCAGGTTTTATATTGAAGCCTCTTCTTCACCCAGAATATGTTAGCTTCTAACTGTGACTTTCAGAGACCATATGTCTTCCGGACACTGACACCATCACTCTGAATTCTGACCATGGTTTAAGGAAAACTCATCCTCCCCTTTACACCCTGTTCTCCTGGCTTCTCTGCCATGTACAGTTTCTTTGTATGACACATAGGGTGATATAATGTTGTAAAAGAGCAAGAAAATACTTCAAGAGCTTTAAAAAATGACAATAGTGATGTTCCAAATTTCATGTACTTCTGTATATTCATTCAGTTCTATTTTTATCATTACAGCTTTCCTAATATACTTAAGAATAAAAATGGTGAGATACATGGTCAAACCATTTCTCTAAAATAGCTTGAAATACATCACGACCCAGTATAAAATATTTTTACAATTTTTTTCTAGTGCCAGACAGTATGTGTGCTCACCAGAAAGAGACAGAGACAAGAGGGAGAAACGATCCCCCAATGGGGCATAGTCACACTGGGATCCCAGCTCCATTTCTCTGTCCTGTCAGGATTTGGGGCATGCACACACAGGAGACCAGTGTGTTTTTCAAGCTTCTGGAGCCAGGATTTGAACCACGTGGTAGGTCATTTGGTATCTAGCTTCCTTAATCACTAGACCATGAGGCCAACTCCTGTATACAATTTTTTAAAATTCCTTATCCACTGAAATGATTAGTAATTCAGTGTCAAACATATGGGTACTTGCACGTATCTGAAAAATAAATATAAACATTTTCGATTTATCTTGAATGCAGATTATTATTTAGACATGGTTGGGTAATTGTTGGTCTAGTACTCCAGAGCTTCTGTTTTTAAAATGTTATGTTCTATGAATGCTTTTGAAAATGGGACTGTTTATAAAACGTGTAACAACGTGAGGGGGGAAATGGACTTTGGCCCAGTTAATATAAACTGAGTACCTGGAAACACCAACCTCAGTTGTTCTTAAGAAGGGAAACATGGCCAAGGGAGGGGCCAGGTGCAGAAACAGTCCTGGAAATCTTAGCTTCCACTGCCTCACCTCAATTCGAAGAAACATTAGGAACTTTATTATTGAATGTTATCTTTTAAAACATCTTCCAGCTTTTCATTTATACCATATCTTCTTTCATAACAACAAGGAATATAGGTCAATAACAGATTTGGAGGACGCTGCAAATTGGCAAACTTTTATACCTTTAAAATAATTGTTTTACTTGACCTCAAGTGATTGCTTTCAGTAATAGTCCCCCCCCCCATTTGGCAAGGAGCTGCATGAGGGGAAATGCCCCAGCATGTCAGCATTTTTAAATTGTAAACCATTAAGTTAAGGACATAATATCTGCATGGCATTTATATGGACAAGACTGGGCAATTTGATCAGGTGAACACAATTAGGCGCATTCAGGACTGGGTGAATGTGCCTTATTCTAAGGGTATTGATGAATCAACTAGTTCCAAGAGAGATTATAAATGAAGCAGCTCAACACTCTACTTACTAATTAACCTTTTATTAATGACTTATATTAAGACATAGGACACTTTATTCTTATAAAAATTTTTATGAAACAGAGCTGAAAAGGATCACTAATATACTGGGTAATAAGGTTAAAAATAAAGACAAAAGAAGACTGCAAAAAAGTAGTTGTTTCTTTTCATTCTGTTTTAAGTGGAAATAACAGGTAGAAACAGCAGATTGATATTTAGTGTAAATAAACGTTTAGTTTCCAACTTTGATTCTCATGAGAGATTAGGACTAAGAAGATCTAGTTTAATAGCAAGTTCTGTGAAAAAGCCTAAAGAATATTAAACAATTGCAAGTTCAATGTATACCAACATTTTTACCGTGAAAGTCATGATCTTATTCTGCCTAATAAAAACATTAGCATTGGGGCCAGCAGGTAGCGTGGTGGTTAAAGCGCTTGACTCCCACATGATTGACTATGGCTCAAGTCCCAGACTTAGTAACTCGTTTTCTTACTTTCTGTCTGTCTCTCTCTGGTGAGTACATGTGCCTGATAGCAAATTAAAACTAATAATAAATAAATTAAATTAAATAAATAATTCTAAGAAAACATATTAGTGAGACCAGCAGATGGTGTAACGGTTACATCACTGGGCTCCCACATAGTCCGTGACAATTTGACTCCCAGACCCAGTGGCTTAAAACTCACACTGGGCATGGGTGCATACATGCCCAAGATCCCAAGAGGAGGATGGAGGAGAAGAGATTGGGGTATGACCATTGCACCAGAGGGTGATTTCTCACTCTCTGTCTCTGTCTCTCTCCATCTCTCTGGTGAGCACATGTGCCCTATAGCAAAAATCTCCCTTAAAAAAAAAAGTATGATTATTTATAGTTTGCAAAGCACTTTTATGTGTGTGTCTTGAGGTATAATTCATATTCTGTAAAATGCATCCTTTTTAAATGTAATTTTTAAATGATAAACTCATACAGTCATAACCACAACTAATATACATTTCTTGGTCGCTCTTTAGACTGTTTTTCTTTCTTTAAAGAATTATTTTATTTAACTTTATTTATTTATTTATTTTAATTTAATGACAGACAGAGAGTGAGAGAGAAAATGAGAAAGCAAGCCATCAGGTCTGGGATTTGAACTGCACTCAGCCATGTGGGAGTCCAGCGCCCCTAACCAGCATGCCACCTGCTGGCCCCTAGACTAGTTGTTAAGAGAGCCAGAGCCCACATGACTGATCACAGTTTAAACCCTGACCTTAGCAGTTTGAAAAATATCCAGGAGTTTGTGTGTAAATGCTCAAAACTCCAACAGGAAGAGCAGTGGAGAAGAGTTGAGACATGACCACGTCTCACTGGGGGTGCCTCTTCCCCCTTTCCCTGTCTCTCTCCCTCTCCCCACTACTCATACAGTGCAGCTTGGAAAGTTGCTTAACTTTGAACCCTGATTATTGTCATTTGTACAATAGACATGTTAATGAAGTTAACAGTAAGGATCTTGTGAGAAGGACGCTTTAATGAGCTATGTGAAGAATGCTCGTCAAACTACAGGGTCAGAAAGCAGTCAGAGGTTGCCAGGGACTGGGATAGGGAGACTGTTTACTAGAGAGACATGAAGGAACTTTCAGAGTGATGGAAATGGTCTATACCTTTTATCTTTCTTTCTTTTTAATTGCTAGAGTATCCATGTACTCTCCAGAGAGAAAGGGAAAAGGAGAAAATTCACCCCCCTTTGGGGCATAATCATGCTGCAACCCTTTTCCTTCCATTTCTCCATCCCTTCAGGATCTGAGGCACACATGCCCACCCACTCGCCCAGCATGTCTTTCAAGTTACTATGGTTGGGATTCAGACCTCAGTTGGCAATATGGATTCTGAGTCTCCATGCATAGCACTTAATCGTCGTTCTATTGGACCAGCTCAGATAACCTGTATTTTTAGTTTCACCCTGTGAGGACTACTGCCACTTTAATTTTGGTCCAGTGATACTAACTTTGCTGTTCTGGCCTGCAGACTAGAACACAGTAAAGTTTGTGTTAAGCCATCCAGTTTGTGGTAATTTGTTACAATAGGCACAGAAAACTAATATGGATGAGTATTAAATGATACCTTAAGTGTTGTTTTTTTTTTTTTTATTAGAGATTTTTGCCATAGAGTACATGCACTTGCTGAAAAGAAAGAGAGAAAGAGAAATCATCTTTGGGGTGAGGATGATCATGCCACAGAAGGGTCTCCTGCATTGTCCTCTTGGGATGTGGGACATATGCATGTGCCTAGTGTGTTTTTTAAGTCACTGAGCCTTAGACTCGAACAGTACAGTCAACCATGTGGGATCCAACTGCCTTAACCTCAGTGCCACTTGCTGGCCCCATCTAAGTGTTGCTTTTTAAATGCACTGTGCTGGTTTCTCAGTGAAGCCAGGTACTTTTCATAAGGTTATTGATAAATCAGGTGTTTTCTTCTTTGAATTTTCCAACTCGTGTTTTGTCTCTTTTTCTTTTGGATTTCTCTTTCTTTATTGATTAGTTGGGGTTCTTTATGTAGTATAACTATTAATCCTTTGTCAGTTACACATGATACTGAAGAAGAATTTATCTTCTAATCTATAGATTGTCTTTTTAGCTTGTTTATGATTTGGTCTGCATTCAGAATTTGTTCTCAGCTCTCTTTATTATGGAAAATTTTAAATGTATCCCAAAGTAAAGAGAATAGTATAATAGATCTTCCATGTACCCCTCACTCAGCTTCAACAATTATCAGTATTTTTCCCCTGAAGTATTAACTTTCTCCTTTAGGATTTGTACCTTTTATGCATTCATTATCTAAAACATCTTTAAATAAATATTGTGTTGCCATAATTTATGTGGCCAAGCATTTCTGTCGTGATAACACCCATTCTTTTTCACTTTTATTTAGATGTCATCTAATGTCTAACAGTCTTTAATATATTCAAAGCATTACCAGCATGAGCGTTATTCTGTATCTTCTTCCAAAATAGCCTGTACTTTTCTTCTTCAGCAAAAGTTGTTGATACAGATCTTGAGAGTTCACCAGCTGTCCCAACGGCATCCTGCATGTTATCAGAGGGCTGGCTCAAACTTTCATGCACCCCATGAGTAGGCTAATCATTCAGAAGAGGTCAAATGCAAGCCTGAGTCAGCTATGCTAGCTAGCATTTTTGGTTTGACTAAATAACTCCTCTCACCTTTTTTGTTTTTATTTCTAGTGTGCCATCTGGGCTTGAAGGCATGAAAGAACAGGATATTTGCAACAGGATAATGGCAAAAATCCTGGAAAATTATAATACCTTGTTTGAAGTAGAGTGTACAGAAAACGATAATCAGAGGTGCGAAAACGTGGCTAGGCTTATCCTAGTAAAAGTAAGTAGCCTTGATATTTAATGTTCACTAGTGCTATCATTTTGAGTAGATTATTTTCTTAACTTATTCTTTGTCATACAATTTCCATATACATACAATTTCAGATTATTATTCCTATGTGTGTTGGGTTCTTCAGAAATTGCTTCCCTCCATCAAATGTTTATTAAATTGGTCTATCTATCCTTCTATGAGTCAAGAATAATAGTGATTTTAGGTTTCTTTGTTACTGTAAGATCATCTCAGAAGTGGTCACGGGAGCCCAATCTCTGGCCCCTCGGGCACACCACCTTTCTGAAGCCTGAGGTCACAGTGGGAGTTTGCACATGCAGCTGTGTTCAGGAGTGCTGGTTTCCAAATGAGATTACAAATTTCCAGATTTCATGCTACTAATGCCTTTTTTGTCCCTTGCATGTCTTTCAAGCTCACCCTTAGGTTTTTAGGTCCTATATATTTGTCCTTGGTAACTGTCATCGGTTGAAGAAAGTATTTTAAAGACCCATAAAGGAGTCCTTGACAGTGCTCTCTGAATCTTTCTCTGCACTGGCTATAATTTGCCAATATCCATTACACATTAGATAAACCACGTAGGTTTCTAAAGACCTACATTTGAGAGTCAGAGGACAGAGACTCAAACCAAAGCCTCCAGCTGTGGGGAAGAAGGAAGGCATCTCCTTTCTTTCTCCTTCCCATTGAGGTACATCGTGATGGGACTGATATGAGAGGTTTCCTCAGCCTTCTCTATTTACAGACCAATGATGACAAAGCCAGATGCACGTGGGTGGGCATTCAAAGCCGGGTTTTTATCTCTTCTTCCAGTTGGGACCATGACTTTGAAGAAGGATATCAACTAGCAGGTAGGAAAGACCAAAATTAGGTTTTGTTAGCTAGAGCTGTATGTTGTGAACACCACAGGTGCCCTCTAAGGGCCAGAACTCCCACAGCTATCAGGACTGACAAGATGCATTGAGCAAGCATCTTGCCAACCTGATAAAGGAACTTGAAACTAAAATCAGAGGTAAGGTGAGAACAACGCTCAGATAAAATGAAATAATTGGAGGATATCAGCCGTAACCTAAGATGGGGTAACACACTAGCTAAAAAAAAATGTGTCTTGGATTCACACAAGAAAATAAGAAACACTTCTGTTTTGCTACAGAAAAGTTAATTATTTTTTAAAGTAGAACAAAATCTCCCTTAAATTCATTCTTTGGGATATAAATTGTATATGGGTGTAGCACTTGTGGAAACTCGTTCAACTGTATGCTTAAGACTCATACATTTTACTGTATGTAAATTATTTTTAAAATTTATTTCACATTTATTTTAATGGAACTAAAATAGATAGGGGGAATAATGTCTAGTTTGATAAGAAAAAGTGGGATGAATATAGATGGCAACAATTTGCTATATATCTCGAAGTAACTAAAAAGAAGGATTTGAATGTTCCCAATGTCAATAAGGGCATGTGCTTGTAATGACAGGTATGCTCATTATCCTGAATGAATCATTATGCAGGATAGTCTTGTACTATAGATTCATTCTGTGCCTTCATAATTATGAACAATTATTATATGTTAATAAATACATATATATGAACATCAGCGAGCTAAGAAATTATTAAAACATATAGTTATGTCTAAATGACTCATGCATAATATAAAAAAAAACAAATAAATTGTATAAACATAAATATAGTAAAAAAAAAAATCTTAAAAATGTCAAAGTCACTATTTCTGTTCAGCTGACTGGTTAGTAGCTGCAAAACTAATCATGGCTTCTAGACTGCTTCCATTGGGTTCACTTGAAGGCAGGTTTCCTCTACCAGGAAGGCAGACCAAAGATAAGGAAAAAGATTCATTTGCGTGATACCTCCTTCAGCTGTACACTTCCTGCTGTTCTTTGGGAGTGAGCCTGGGTCCCCACAGGGTTTTTCCAGATTATGCATTGATTTGGCCATGAGCACCAGCTCTAGTTACTCTGATGAAAAGAATTTTAGATAGGCCTTTTATCTCTGGGACATTTGGAGAAATCCGAGAAAGTATGTGTTGGCTTTTGGCATTTTGGTTCCCATTTCGCTGAATTTGGCAAGGAATCTTTACTGTCGGTGGTCTACATTTATAGCTATTTCTTGCTTCACTTAGGATAGAGCTTTCTTTTCTGCCTCTCGTTATTTTTCTTTTTGGTAGGTTTTTAAGAAAGAAGTAAAAGTTGAAACACTTATATTTTGCCAAACTTGAAGGTCTAAGGCTGTTTTTCTGAATAACTGGTTTAGGAGAAATACATCTTTCAAGAAGGCCTCCAACAACCACCCCTTAATTTCTTCAGTTACAGAATAATTCCAGATTTTCTCTTCAAAAGATGATCTAAATACAGACTTTTATGAAGACTTGTCCACTCAAGAGTTAACTTAATCACCCAGATGTTTATATATGCAAAGTTCGGTGGCAGAAGTGTGCTTAAAATAATAGACCAGTGACTCTAAGCTGAATTCATTAAATCCAAGTAATTACTGGGTGTCTTCTGTGAGGAAAGCATTGTTGTAAGCATAGTGAATATAGCAATGAATAACAGGGAGAAAACAAAAACAAAAAACCTCTCCTTATGAGTCTTAAATTCAAATAAAGTTACAATAAACAACTGACAAAAGAACCCCCAAATATATAGGATGTCTGATGATCTGTAGAGAAAAATAAAGCAGGGAAGGGCGGAAGTAGTACTGATGAGTTAGAGGAGTTGTATTTGCTTATTTAAATAAATGGTCAGAAACTCCATTGACAGGGGACATTTGAGTAGACCTGAAGAAGGTGAAGGAGCAAGTGAAGACCCCAGGAGGGATCTTCCAGGAGGGAGCGGAACACAGAGGCCGTGAGCTGGGAGTTACCTGGGCTGTTTGATGAGCAGAGTTGAGAAGCCAATATGATTGGATTACAGTGTGCCACTGCCTGGCGATGAAGACCTGGAACCCTGAGGAGAAGGGCTGTGGATTGAGAAAGGATAGACCAAGGAAAACGGGAGTCAGGCGGACTGGGCATTTTTGATGGTGATTGCTCTGGCCTGGAGCCGTTCTGTGCTCGTTCTTTTATAGGAGAGATAAAGCTCTGTGCTTTCTATATTGACCACAGCTGTGGAGCTTCTAGAGTCTCTCCTGGGCTTCTCTGGCTAACACTTAGCTTTCCTCTATCTGTAAAGACTAGCAGTAGATTATGTCTTTGTTTAGAGCTTTTGCATGTGCTGCAGCATAAGCACAAGGACTGTGTCCAGTTTAAGGTGCTCCTTGCAACAGCGAGCAAGGGGAAAGGTGAAAGGAAGTGAGGTCATCAGCGCCCCCTACAAGGGACCAGATCATGTCCACTCTCAGAGGTCATCATAAGAACTTGAATTTTATTCAAGATGAAGTCATTAGACAGTATTGAGCAGAAGAGTGCCACATTCTGAGTCCTATATTGAAAAGATGACTTTAGAGACCAGCAGTTGGTGTAGTGGCTATGTCGCTGGACTCCCATGTAGTCAACCACAGTTCGAGTCCTGGACCCAGCCTTAAATTCACGCTGGACGTGTGTGTGCATGTGTGCCCAAGATCCCAAGAGGAGAATGGAGGAGAAGGATTGCAGCTTGGCCATCCCCCTGGGGGGTGATTTCTCGCTTTCTATCTCTCTGTCTCTTTCTGTCTTTCTGGCAAGCACACACGCCCTATAGCAAAAACCTCTCCAAAAATATAAATAAATAAAAGATGACTTTGACAGCTAGGTAAGAAACATGGCCCTGGGGTGGGGGGACCAGCAGATAGAGTAGCAGTTACTTCTTTGGACTCCCACATGACCGACAACAGTTCAAGTCCTGGACTTGGTGGCTTGAAAATCACACCAGGCATGTCTGCATGCGTGCCCGAGATCCTGGGAGGAGAATGGAGGAGAAGGTATTGCAGTGTGGCCATCCCCCTGGGAGATGAGTTTTCATTTTCCCTCTCTCTGTGTCTGTCTTTCTCTCTCTGGCCAGCACACACATCCTAAGGTAAAAACTTATCAAAAAAAAAAAGAGACATGACCCAGGGTGAGAGTCCAGAATATAGGTTAGGGTATTCAAAAGGAACATGGTAGTAGAGGGTACTAGAGTACTAGAGACCCGAGTTGAGTAAAAAAATGTTTGAGGTGGGAGTAATAGGGACAGTGAACAGGGAATGGGAGGTTTGCCTTAGTGGTTTTGGAGGTGGAGCTGTCTGGAGTGATAATAAGGTTTAGGTTGTGTTGTGGAGCCCGAGTGGCTGAAACGAAGGAGAGAAAATGATGGGAAAGAAGATGGTTAAAAGGTGGGAAATAAAGATACTGACGGTTGGTCCTCATTGACCCTGAGTGTACTATGAGGGTAGGAGACTCACAGGAAGTGGCAGAAAGGCTATGAACCTGATCTGTCAAGTTCCACAAATACACAGTATGAAGTGTGTGTGTGTGTGTGTGTGTGTGTTTTATAGGTATTCATGAATAAGGTGTTCAGGTAGAGCCTCAAATATATAAAAATACGTATACATCATAAAATACTATGTGATTAATATGTTACAAAATACCTATCTAGAAGTATCTAAATGAGTATTATTTTATTCCAAATGAACTTCCTGTGAGACTATCTTTATTGGTGTTCCCATTGTTTATAATATCTTCAGGAATTTTGAAATTGTCTTTTTAAAAAAAATAAAAAAGAAGAAGAAGAAAGATTTTTGCTATCAGGCATATGCGCTTGCCAAAGACAGAAAGCGAGAAATCACACACACACACCCCCCAGGGGGATGGCCACACCGCAGTCCCTTCTCCTCCATTCTCCTCCCGAGATCTTGGGCACACATGCACATGTGCCTGGCATGAGTTTGAAGCCGCCAGGTCTGGGACTCGAACCATGGTCAACTATGTGAGAGTCCAGCAACATAACCATTATGCTATCTGCTGGTCCCTGAAATTATTTTCTGAATATGTGTCATTCATATACCATTCATGTCTTTTTTTCTTTTT